TGAACAACGCACCCACCCACACCCACACAACTTCACTGCAACAAATGGTCCCGAAAAAAATCGGTTTCTCTGTGCAGAACGGCTAGCCTTCTGTCTAGATCATTGCACGAATTCCATACTCCTGTGACAGCCCTCGTAGATTTCCGTAAAAACTGCACTCTTGAACCAAATGACGTTTGTGTAAAACAAACCAACGGCCGCTGCCATCAGAGCGCAAGGCATGCGGTTTGACCACTTCGTCACTAGGGCATCCATTCTCATGTGCAAAATATACGTTCTGGGAATGTTAAAAGGGAAATCAGTGCGTATTTTTTAAATTAATTTTTTTTTTAAATAATCTATTTATAAATCACCTCACTTGATTTGCTGATTTTTTCCCCACAGTAGAAGCCAATAAAATTAGTGACACTCCAGCATGTGCACACGCATTACTATATAAGGCACGCCGCCAATTCTGAGACGATCAGTCATTCTCCATTTTTTTTTTAATATGCAGCTCAACATACATCTCCAAGAGCACAAACAAAAAACATTCCCCGAGATATTCACAGCTCGCAGGTCCACATCATGCATTCATTCTAGTAGCTTAGTGTTTATCTTGTCTACTATACCATCCAGTTTTCCGCTAGGGGTCGAAACCCCAAACTTTCCCTAGATTACTGGACAGAACTGGGTCCAGGGCGTTAAAGTAAGATAGGCTTGGGCAAGAGAGACTAAAAGACACTAAGAGTTTTGAACTGCGCATCATTGCTTCTTTGGGACCGACTGTGCCAACTCTAAATCTGACTTGAGGGCAGCCGACAGGTTATAGTTGGTCATGGTCTGAAGTTGCTTGATGTTTAGCAAGGAACCATACTGTCATGGCAGTTGTCATCGGACCAGTAGAGTCCTTCCAAGAAAGAAAGCAATGGTAAATTACATTTGTCAGTATGCTAAGAAAATTCACGATTTCGTACTTATACAAACGAAACAGCTTCTGGAGACAGATGACCATCATAAACTTATCAGACGCATTAAACGCACGCGGTAGATATTTTTGACTTGTAATGGGGAAGAATAGACTCCAGAACTCGATGGTAACTGGCAAGATTGATGAGAAAAGAGCAAGGGAAAGAAAAAGATATATTGTCTGTATAATTTTTCCACATGGATGTGGCGAGACTTGAGGACTTACCGGATTTGGGATTGTGGTGATCATGTGAAATTGCGAAGTTTGACCTCCTACGTGTATCGACAGGGACAGAATGATGATGATGTTGACGATACAACTTCATACAAATATAATAAGAAGTGTAATAATTAACAGTCCTTGTGGTGAACGAAACGGACCTCAGTTCTTTCTGCCACCTGATCCAGAATGTTCTCACTGTTCTCTCTCTCTCTCTCTCTCTCCCCCTCTATCTCTCTCTCTCTAACACTACATATTTTTAGTAGCCCCCCCCCCCCCCATTTTCGCACGTCTCTTTCTATCTCTAACTCGCTCTCTCAGACGGGAAATCTACCTTTGTAAACATACCAAAAATCAGCTTAGTGTATCCTACTGTTCGTCGTATTGTTCATCATTTTCTGTGATCACTAAAATCATGAATCTGGTCAATTTTTCTTGCCCCATCAATGCCTTGTGCTCCCGGTGTCATAATGCATTTATCTCTTTCGGTACCAACCAACTCACAATACGTTTTTTGTGTGTGCTTTTACAGATAACATGGTGTTCTTGCCGTCTTCTCTTAGAAACATATATCATTATTTTGCGTTGTTTCTGAATTATTCATTTAAAGTTGAAGTCAAAAGTTAATTATTCGTTTAACTACGTCTGCCGCATGGTGTCTCTGTTGAACTTCACCAAACACGAGTATTTACTGCTTTCAAATTCATTTACTTGGGACATAAGGGCAAAATGAATAGACCGACTGCCTCCCTTATAAGCATTTACTAAAATCGAAATGGATTGGGTGCAGATATCGCAGCCTAGGTGTAAACCACAACACAACGTTTTTACGGTCCCTTAAATGGTGAACACAAAAGACAGAAAAAGAAAGAAGGAATGAAAAAAGAAAGGAAAAAGAGAAAGAAACAGAAAAAAGAAAAAGAGGAAGAGGAAGAAGACAAAGAAAATGAAGAATAGGTTGATAATAATAATTAACAATAATAGCAGCTGCTTGGTACTGAAAGATTTAATAACAAATATATACATATATATGTTACATTGCCAACCGGCAAAAGTATTCCTAGCGTCTGCTGCTGCTGAGTTGCTGACGGGACGGCAGTAGTGTTGTAAGTTGTAAGTCAGCAGTCTACGACTTGTTGGGTTGGTGAGTTGATGAAGTTAGCGGGTAATTTACTGAAACCGGCAGTCGTTAGGGTAGCCGAGAACAAGATTATACTATTGTTTATAGGCTTATTGTTTTACTTCTGCCTCCGTTCTAAGACAAGACATTTAGCGTCGTTTTGTATGTTTATTCTTTTTAAACTAAACTTCTGTACTACTGTGGACATCGTTTATTTATAAATAGTATAAAAATGTATAATTATTACACTTCTTGAAGTATTAGTATAATTATAATTATTACACTACTTGAAGTATAATAATTATTACTAATATTACACTATAAATATTCACTTTTCCTATAGGATGTTTAGTGGATAATGCAATTAAATTAACAGTAAGTTCACGCAAGTAACTTTTTGCTTAATTACTAACTACTAAGTAGTACTTTTTACAACATGGTATGTAAGTTACTACTACTACTACTACTACTACTACTACTACTACTACTACTACTACTACTACTACTACTACTACTACTACTACTAATCCTCTCCTGCTACTACTACTAATCCTCTACTGCTAGTAATAGTACTGCTACTGCTGCTACTGCTACTACTACTTACTACTACTAATCCTCTCCTGCTACTACTATAAATCCTCTCCGGCTACTACTACTAATCCTCTACTGCTACTGCTAGTAATAGTACTGCCGCAGCTATGATGGTATCTGCCACAGAAATGTTAATATCTCGGCTTATAATTGACTTACAGGCTTCATCAAGGTATCGTTGGATTGGATATTTTAATCTGTGTTCGGCTGTTAATAGTTTAATAAGTACTAAATTACTACCCAATATACAAAACTTCACTAGTATCCCTATTCAAACTGTGTTTCTTATTTATTTGCAAAATGGATATTTTAAAAAAAAATGTATATTATCATGGTTCAACCAATGTGGCTGCATATGGCAGAACTTGAGGGTTTCACTGTTTATGATGTCTATCTATTACTGGAGTTCATAAGGGAATCACAGAATTGTACCATGTGTGTTGTTTGAGGCAACTAAAGAGGTGTTGGTGTGAGACTGGTTTCTTCATCCCATTGAAAACTGGCTGCAAAAATGCAGCCAAAGGGCTTGGTTTCAGTTTGTCCAGGGTCTGTAGTTTGCTGGAAGATGGAAGGCATGCTAACCACCTGTGCCTATCCACCAAAGAGATCAAGTGAGAAATGAAGAGATTAGAAAAACTATTAGAACAATACCCACCATTAAACCCACTGAAATTGTTCAGCCACCTGGGGAAGATTCGTCCAAACATGCTAGCAACAAGAGTTTACTGCATGAGAATGGAAAAACCATGAGGCAGAGGGAGCCTAAAAAAAGAAGTTGGTTTGAAGGATTCACAGATAGTCTAAGATAGGACTATTCAGCTGAGTTTACTCAGGGACCAGTATGCTGAAAATTTGCCAGAGGCCCAAAACCCATCATAAAAAGAGCGATAATACAATACAGTTGGCAATGAACCGTGGGCCTCTTGCTAGGTCTGTGTGGGCTGGATTTGGCCCACCGGCTGCCAGTTGAATTAGCCCTGTTCTAAGATTTCACAGTGTCACAACACACCAAACAGAAGAGTGCACCCTATCTTAGCTACCTGACTTTAGTTAAACTGTGATGCCTATTGGCACAAAGAATTCTAGAGAAATTTGACTAAAAAGCTCAACAAGATGGGGAAGCAGAAAAACATGCACAAAACAACACAAATAACTAACGTTTCGGCCGGGCAGCCTTTGTACTGCAGTCAGCCACCACTAGTGGCACAAAGCAGATATTGGACAACAAAAAGAAAAAAATTAAAGACAAAAGAAGACTATATTAAGAAAGATTTTTTAGTAACATGTCAGGTTGTTCAGTCTCAGTGACCGGTATAACATTTAACTATGTCTTCCTCCATTTGTATTTTGCTGTCTTCACATGTAGCCATCGGCTGTGTCACTGAACTTCTTTAGTTAAGTCAAAGCAGTCTAAAGAAATCTGCCCCTCCCCCCCCCCCCCCCCAATGATATACCTAATAGGTTTCTAATCATACTGAGAAGGACTTTATGAGAGGTCCTGTTGCCCAGTAAGGGACTGGTACTCTTAGCTGAGGGATGCTGATTCATGTGTTGAGGAATGAACTGAGGCCACATGCACATGTCTGGAGTGCCATGACAATAATTCAGTTCATAACTTCTTAGGTCCCTTCTGCTTCTGTTGCTACTTCTATTCCGCCTGCTTCTCCTCCTCCTTCTCCTTCAGGTCTGCATCACTTACATATTTGGAACAGTGGATTTTTAGATTTTAAGTGCTTTAGAAAAAAAGGCAACACATCTGTAATTGCTTTATTTACTACAAAGCTTGATGATCACTTACTGAAACTATTTTCACACTGCATGTCTCTGTTATTGTTGAGCCTTAACTCTTTGAGTCCCAGAGGGTTTAGCATCACAGGCCCAAGGGGTAGTCAAAAGAGACGTAAAATCGGCGCATTGTGCATTCATTGGGCTTCTAAGCAGTAACCTATGAATGTATGATGCGTTCCTTGGGACTCAAAGAGTTAAGTTTTGTTCTAATGTGGTTTTTCATTTCAGATTGCAAGGCTACCTTGGTTACAGGTCAGATACTTTAGCCTCAAATCCTGGATATGAATAGCTTTTATTAATTATGATGTCCTGACCACAATGCCTTCATTGGGCATGGCACAGTACTTTGCTCCACCCGAGGGCCTGCGACAGAAAGTGTCAGTTTTTTCCATCAAATCAAACTCCCAGTCTGGAAACACAGAAACGGTAAAAATGCTGGAGGATCCAAGTGGCAAGGAGACAAGAGAGGTTCTCAAACTTTGGTGCTTTGACCTCTCCTACATGTCTCGATCCTGGCAGTTTATGACACTGACAGCTTTAACCTTTGCCTTTTATCTCATTTATGGATACATGCAGGTAAGCACTTTTGTTTTACTTTCTTTTAAAGATTATAGACTATTCTTAATTTAGTGCAGTGAGTTTGGGCTAGTGCACTGTATTGTAAATATAGTGAGTAAGGGCTAGTGCACTGTATTGTAAATATAGTGAGTTAGGGCTAGTGCACTGTATTGTAAATAATGTGAGTAAGGGCTAGTGCACTGTATTGTAAATATAGTGAGTTAGGGCTAGTGCACTGTATTGTAAATATAGTGAGTAAGGGCTAGTGCACTGTATTGTAAATATAGTGAGTTAGGGCTAGTGCACTGTATTGTAAATAATGTGAGTAAGTGCTAGTGCACTGTATTGTAAATATAGTGAGTAAGGGCTAGTGCACTGTATTGTAAATATAGTGAGTAAGGGCTAGTGCGCTGTATTGTAAATATAGTAAGGGCTAGTGCACTGTATTGTAAATATAGTGAGTAAGGGCTAGTGCACTGTATTGTAAATATAGTGAGCATGCGCTAGTGCACTGTTTTGTAAATATAGTAAGTAAGGGCTAGTGCACTGTATTGTAAATATAGTGAGTATGGGCTAGTGCACTGTATTGTTAATATAGTGTTATGGGCTAGTGCACTGTATTGTAAATATAGTGAGTATGGGCTAGTGCACTGTGTTGTAAATATAGTGAGTAAGGGCTAGAGCATAATAATTCCTATACAGTGAGTTGTGCATTATAATATTGACAATAGATATAGATCTGAGTAAAACATTGCATATAAACTTCAGGTTTAAGAAAAAAAAAGCATAACAAAAGATAAACACTAACATGTCATCAGAGCTTGAAAGGAAAATTTAAATTAGAATATTTTAGGTAACAGTCCCTTAAAATAATAAGTTCTTGAGACAACACCTGGGAGTACAGTGGAACCTCGCTTAACGAGCATAATTCGTTCAGAATCATTCTCGTTAAGTGAAACACTCATTATTCGAAACAATTTTTTTCCTGTAAATTTAGGTAAAACACGATAATGCGTTCAATGTCGAAAAAAATACTCACAAAATGCGTTTATTCAAAGAAAATTATATACATATTGTTAAGGAGAGTGAATCATCTTCATCTTTTCTTCAAACGCGGAACGAACCCACCTGGAATGCAAATTTTATTTGCAGAAAAAAAAAAGTTGAAATAATTATGATACATAGCTAATTATTTTTTTTTATAGAAAGATGTCCAGAGAAATGTATTTTTGTCAACGCTTCAAAATTTGGCGAAAATGCGACACAGCATTATCATTTAATAAATTAGAAACGCGCATAACCACTTCCTTATTAGGGTGATGCTTCTTAATGTAAGATGCAACAGTTTGCCATGCTTTTAGCGTTTCTCTTATTTCGCCAGATGAATGTTGCTTTTCTGTTACCTCCTCCTCCTCCTCTGACAAACTTTCTTCCAAAACTTCTTGCTGTGAAACACAATGCAACTCCATAAGCTCTTGGGTGGTCAGCTCTTAGCTGTGCTCTTCCACAAGCTTTTCGATATCACTGTTATCCACCTACATTTCCATGATAGTGGCCGAAGACACAATCTCGTTGACTGCAGGTTCCACATGTACTGTGTCAAAGCCCTCAAAGTAATAAATCGACAACGCTCTCCAGCCAAAGCTTCTTCCAAGCAGAAGTTAGGGTTCTCTTGGTAACCCCTTTCCCCACCTTGTCGATCATCTTGAGGCAGGCAACGATGTGAAAGTGATTTTTCCAAAACTCTTTGAGAGTGAGGTTGGTCCCTTCAGTCACCTGGAAACAATGCCCGAAGAGTGTTTTAGTGTAGAGCTTCTTGAAGTTTGAAATAACTTGCTGGTCCATGGGCTGGAGTAACGGAGTGGTGTTGGGAGGCAGAAACTGGATCTTGATGAACTTAAATTCTTCAGAGAGATCATCTTGTAGGCCTGGAGGATTCATGTACATATATCACAATATAACACAAGTTTAAGAAAATGTGTAATCACAAGCAACACTACGATGCTACTGGAACGAGTGCTAAATACATACTAATGTAACATGCGCACAATTCGGGGCTTCCCCTCTCCTCGCCACTCGTTATGCGAAACGTCGCTCGTTAAGCAAGTAATTTTTTTTAATTTTATTTTGCTCGTTATGCGAATAACACGTTATGAGAGGTGTTCGTTAAGCGAGGTCCTACTGTATAATAGGAACCTAACTGCTGGACTTGGAGCATAACACAGTGCAGACCGCTAAAGGTGATCTTGGATGAACAATTTTTTTTTATCCCTTGAAAATTTTCTTGCTTTAACTCATATCCGGATAAGAGTAATTTCTGATAAGAAGGAAATTTGCTTGGGTCCCTAGTGAGTTCTCCTTATCAGGTCTGCACTGTAATATGTAAGATTATTTACTGGAGTGCAAGTATGGAACAACATGGGAAACTATTAATAGAATTTGCAATCATTACAGTTAACCCAGGACTGGGAAAAATATGTTAGGCCCAGTTAAGCCCAGAGAACTGCAAAACAGAATTGAGCTGTATACAACAGGCAAACATATTCCTGTGTGTGTGTAACATTTACACATACATTCATTGCAGGAGCTCATCTTTAAACTAGAGGGTTTCCAACCATTTGGCTGGTACTTAACACTGGTACAGTTTGCCTATTATACTGTCTTTGGTGTGGCTGAGTTACAGCTTAAAGAGGACAAGAAGCGCAAGTAAGTGTTGCTAGGAATTCAACAATAATCTTATTATTCCTCTATATAATCCTCATGGAAATGAAGAATATTCTTTGCAATCTTTCTTTTTTCATTGAGACAGGAAACAATTCTCAAGAGCTATATAAAAAGTATCCTTATGTATGGAAGTGAATTGGCAAGGCTGAGTGGTCTCGAGGTATGGCGTCCGTCTCAAGTGCTGGAAGTCCCAGGTTTAAGCCCCGGTAAAGGCTGGGATTTTTTCACGTGGACATAGTAATTTCCTCTGGTCTCTGGGTAGTAAGAGCAGATGCCCGTATGTTTTGTTGCGCACGTTTAAAAAAAAAAGATACCTTGGCAGTTGGAAATTGAAAAGAGTATCCTAGCGGCGCTGTCCAGGCAAAATTTCAAGTTAAAAATTTACCCAAAGTATTTCAGGATCCCCACCCCGTGCAACAGAGTTTGTGCACTGTGCTGAGATTCTTCAGACTCAGGCTTGAGTTAGAAGTAGAACGGAGCACTTGTGGGATGCACCCATGTGCCATAATGTTGATCAGTTGAATATAGAAACAAACGTGGAAGTGAATCATGGACAGTTGGACGACTAGTGAAAAATTAGTTGGGAGCCACGAAGATGTGGTTTTGTAGATGAATGATGAGAACATCTGGGACAGATAAAAAGAATAATGAAGATGTCTTGAAAGAATCTGACTCACGAACAGAACTGATTGCCCACATTAAAAGGAGACAATCTACATTCTTTGGCCATGTGATGAGAAGGAGATAACAGGAGTACATCCTGATGGTAAGAAAGTTGGAGGGGAGAAGAGGCAGAGGGAGACAGAGAGAGGATGCTGGACAGTTTAACATCATAGCATGGAAGATCATCTGTGTCAGAACTGATTGAAAGTACACAAGACAAAAGGTTGTCGAATGCCACATGGCATAAACTAGAAGAAGAAGCATCCCCATGAAATAACGTGACAGTAATCTTATTATTTTCGTTGATAATCCCTGTGAAGTAGCATAATTTTGTAATTGTGTCATCCCTGTGTGGGTTCCAGGGCCCCATTGTTGGGAAAACAAGAATAGACTCACTTCCTTCCCATAAAGCATGTTGTATGAGTCCTCACTGAGGGTTTCCTTCAAAGTTGGAATGCATCTGTCTGACAGGCAAGGAACCAACAGTCTGCATACAGATAAGTCAGATCTGTAAAACGATTTACAGACAACACACAGGTTCTGGAACATGACTAAAGTCAGCAGGTGGACGAACAGCCGGAACTTTTCGCTGGAGTTAACAGCCAGTGAATGCAAAGAAGAAGATGAAGAAGAATCTTGTGATTGCTCTATATACTCCCGATGCAGCAGCCATAGCCAGTGACAGTAATCTTGTTATTGCTCTACAGAATCCCCATGAGCATGTACCTGTTGCTGGCATTTCTAACTGTTGCCACCATGGGTTTATCCAACACCTCTGTGGGCTACCTCAACTACCCAACTCAAGTGATCTTCAAGTGCTGCAAGCTAATCCCAGTTCTTATTGGTGGAATTCTCATTCAGGGTCAGTTCTTATATTACAGAATGGTTTAGTTTTTTTTTTAGTTTTTTTTTAAATCATGCCCGTAATGTTTCAGTAAGGGTTTCAACTTCATAAAAAATAGGTCACCCTGTAGTTGCTCTGTTCATATGCCATTGAAAACCCCACAGAATACCTACTGTCCCTTGTGAAAAATGAAAGACATTGCATTCTTGGCAATTAAATGTATAAGGCAGCTGTTAGAAGTGCCAAAACTCCACCACTAGGATTGCAGCTCATTGTCTGTGGAAGCAGCAGTTATAACAAATCATCAGTTGTGCATGCAATGTTGCATAAGGCACCACCAGTTCTGAGGCAACAGATCATTCACCATTTTATAAATGTACAGTTCACAATACAAATGATGTTGGTTACAGTTGCACACCATGCACTCAGCTCAGTAGCTGGGCAGTGGAACAATATGCTTTCGGTCCACATAAGGGGGAAAATGCAACAGTCAATGGTGGCTAGAAGCAACAACAAAAATGTTGGCTAGCCTGTCCACCATATTGGACTCTGAGCCCCTTTCTCCTAAGTGTTATGTTCTACAGTATGTACTACTGTTGCTGCTCGTTTCAGTCAGATTAATTTCTTAAAGAAATATCTTGTATTTCTGTAAATACCTTCAATAAAATTATGTTGTTAGTCTTATTTTAATCTTAAAAATATTTTGCATATCAGAGCAGTATAGCAACTAATTTGTTGTTGAATGTTTATGATAACTTGGATAATATATTGATTTTAGGTAAGCATTTTAAAAGAATTTCCTGCTGTAACTAAAAAGATTTAAAAACATGATTTCAGGTAAAAAATTCAGCTTGATTGACATCACCGCCTGCTTGTGTATGAGTGTTGGGTTGATTCTCTTCACTTTAGCAGACAGCTCTGTTTCTCCCAATTTTAACACCTATGGTAGGTGGTGTCATGTACTTGTTGTGTAAATGTGTGATACCATTATCATGTGTACAGTATCATCATCATCATCATTGTCGTGTTGTGCCATTATATGTCATATAGGGCCTGCTGTCTATTCCTCCATTCTGTTTTATCCTATGCAATCCTTTTTGATTTTGTAGAAGGAATCCAGTTCATCGTCTTTGGCTTCTTTCATAAATTTGCATTTTAGAGTTTCTTTTGGATGTCCTCGCATCCTTAGTCCTTTTATTTACCATTTTAGTGCCTGTTTAGTGATTGTCTGCTTGTTGTTTTCTTAGGATGTGGCCAGTAGAGCACCATCTTCTTTGTCTTATAACTGTGGTTACCAGTGGTTGAACAGACATTTGTCTTATTTCTTCAACTCGCAATGCATCAACACATGTGGGAACAGTCCTGGACAGAGCAGATGTTATCAGCTCTGTATGAACCGGGCTAGGGAGTAATTACAGATCTCTGGCACTGACATGATTGTGTGTGACTGGAAGTAAAGCTTGGTGAAGCACGTCTGTGCCGTCTTCGGGGCCGAGATAGGAGACATTATAACCATTTCCTCATAGGAACAATCAGTATAGGTAACTTGGAGTGGCTGTTTCATGGAAGGGGAGAGCACGCATGGAAGCATAATAAGAAAAGGACCCTTTTCCACACCTTTAGCGGTATAGGGCATATAGGGCTAGACCTATATTTTATAGACCAATCGGCACAAGATAGTTGATGTGGTCAGCATCAAGCCGGCCGCCTTTACTACCCGGGACTGCACCCGGTACCCACTCAAGGCTGGGTCCACCTGGGAGCCAAGACAATTTTTGAAAATAGTTCAGCTCTGCCAGGGAGCGAACCCACGACCTTCCGATCCATGGTGACTCTCTATGGAAGCATAACAACATAACCATGCATGTTTGAATTCCTGTTAACTTGATACTCCTACTGCAGTATTAGTTGAACTGGTCAAGCTGAACTTTTAACTTTAGCAGTATGAGTATGTAGGTTATCTTGACTTTCTTCAGATCTATTTCTGTAACATCTTGAGAATACAATGTTGATATTATTTATTCTTTTGTTGTGTACAAGGTGTGGTGTTGATATCCCTGGCATTGTGTGCAGATGGTGCTATTGGTAATGTACAAGAGAAAACACTCAAACAGTATGGAGCCAGTAATGGAGAAATGGTTAGTAATTACTTATGCTTCATAAACTAAGTTTGTGATTTCATTATGATGCATTAAATACATTGTTTTTCTTCTTCATTGTTTTAGATTATTACCGTATTTTTCAGTGTATAAGGTAATATGTTTTCCCAAATGTTTAAAATTCAAAATTGAGGGTCATCTTGTACACAGAATGTTGCAATTATAAATATATAAATAAATGCATGCTGCTATCCATATTCATCCCCCCCCCCCCCCCCCCCCCCCCCCCCCCAAATGTAGGCCCCCCCCCCCCCCCCCCCTCCACATTGTCCTCACGACAAACCAAGGTCCTGTTACCCCTTCTCTCTAGCAGCCTTCTGTCATTTCTGCCCAGTATGAAATATACTATTGTTTTGAATATTTAACAAAGTGGTTCTGTTTTGCGATGAACAAATTTATTTCCTAGTTTTGGGTGATCCTTAGCTGTTTTTTTGTTTGGGGGGGGGGGGGGGGGGATATTACCCACATTTAAGTATACAGTAGCAAATCTGTCTGTCAGATAAGAGGTCAGTACTCTCACTCAGCGCCTGTGGCTTTAGGCATTGGGAGCGCACTTCATAATGCAGAGGTGCTGGGTTCGATCCCAGCTGCAGGTGATTTGGCAGCAGACCGTCTTGCATTGTTTTCAACAGTGGTACTGAGAGCCAACCTTTTAGAAGCAGTGGCAAACTACTAGAAAAGCCACAACAGCCAAAAATGCTGGGGTTGCTTCTGCAATGTCCTGTAAAGAAAACACAACTAATTGACTCTCACACAAACATTTCACTGTAACCATACACTTATATTTACAGTTTACTATTAATACATCTTAAATTTTCTTTCGTCACATAAGCAACTGACATTTTTGCATTTACATACATCGCATCTCATTGTTCCATTCCAGGTTTTATATTCTTATGGTATTGGCTTCGTGTACATCCTTGTTGGTCTTGTTGTCTCAGGCAGCCTAATGCCAGCATTTTATTTCTGCCAAGAGGTAATACTTCACTTAACTGTTCTTGTTTATGTAAGAATGCAACTTTTCAAATAAATTAGATATTTTGTTGTAGTTGGTAGTTTTGTTGCAACCATGATCACTGTCTTGGTTAGTGGTTTGTCTTATGGGATAGGAGACTAAAGTGAAGGACCCTTTTCTATGCCCTTAGGCATTTTGGGTATATACTGCTAGACATATTTTATAGACCAATAGACACTCGGTGGATGATACGGTCAGTTTCCGAGGACTTTACCTGATACCCATTTAAGGCCAAGGTCATTTAAAAAATAATCCGGCTCCATGCAGAAGCTATGATTTTCGGGCCCAAGGTGAGCATCTAGCCACTACACCACGGCAGCTCTCTATAGGAGACTGTGCGATGCTGTGGTTTGACTGTGCAGCGTTGTAGCTTAGAGGTTAACGAATGCAGTTAACAAGTTCATGGTCCTCAAGAACTAGGGTTGGTTTCCTGCAGTGGGCGGTTAAACCTTGTCTCGCCTTACTGTGTGTTTTTACTGGGGCCGCTAGCTGCAGCAAACAATAGTAACATTGCACCCAATCAAGCATGTCTCAAGAGATTTTTAGAGGTAAAAGTGTGTTAGGTGTTTAAATCCTATCCTGTAAAGAGCTTCAGCTATCAAATGTCAACTAACTATGAACAAGTCTAAAGGCTTTGCACAAGTTGGTTTGGGGAGGGGGGCGCTTAACATTAAATTTTTTAGGTTGAATTTCACCTTCCTTGGATAAGTGCAATGTCCTCCCCAATGAGCTTCCCCACCGAAAGCTGTCGGCACAATGTTGAATGTTTGGTACACAACTGAAAGAGTTAAATGCTAGGTTAAATGAGACTATTTCATGTCTACTTGACTTTGATTATAATTTGTGTATGTGTGTATGTTCTTGCAGCATCCTGTGGAGACATATGGTTATGCTGTGATATTTTCAATAACTGGCTATCTGGGATTGTACATAGTTTTAACGATGGTCAAATCTTTTGGTGCCTTGGTAGCTGTCACAGGTAAGTTGAATATTGGCTGTACTTTGTTATTAGATCATAGACTGCAATTTCTTCTTGGCTGTAAACACCAGCAGAAAGTTTGTGTTGTTTGTCCACTTCTAGACTTTGATCTTGTTCCAGAATTTGTGTTTTGCATGCGCATCGATTTAACAGATCTGGCTTATTTGTGTGCAGACTGTTGGTTCCTCCCCTCCCAGGCAGATGCACTCCGATTTCAAAGGAAACAACCCTGATTTATTGGCTTTTACAGCATGCTTGTTAGGGAGCAGCCGATCTGTTCTCCTTTCCCTCAAAATGGGGTCCTGGAAGTCACACAGAGAATTGTACATGTGACTTGAGGGGTTTGGATTTTGGTAAAAAATCACTGTCATTGAGTGTGGCTAGCTCCATGAATGCTGCCGTTGTCTCTTTTCATAAATCACACAAGAAGAATATCGGCACTTCACACACTTATCATCCCTGGCTAGGCTCTAAATATGTGTTTGTGAAAATCACACTGCTGTGTTCTTTTCTGGACTGGTTCTCTATGCATGCTCAAGTCTCTTCTTATCATCAATCACATAAGAAACATGTTAGCTTCTTATACAAACACTGTAGAACAGTTGTGAGGCTTTGAATGTGTGTTTGTGAGAATGGCCCATGTTATTTTTATGTGTGAGATTTACTAATTTTGAAATTTATTCTGGACAGTAGCCTATTTGGTGCTTATAATATTAAAGTTTTTCATGTTTTTTTTTGTTGTTGTTGCTTGGTTGAGTATGGCTTTTGCTTCCAGTTTATTTTATACTGTCTCTTCTCATTTATACAACTGTTTATATATTCTTTATGTAGATAATTTTGGTCACAGACATGTTCTGCACCTGAGACACTAGCAGTCTCTGTACAGGTTTTATGGAATTTCAAGCAAGACTCCTGCCACACTTCCACGTTGTGCACATTAACCAAGCTGACAGGGGATCTCAGAGCTGGTGGCTCTAAGAGATGCAGTGTGCAGAAAACCCTTGGCACTCATCAGCCCACCCCAGTGCATTGGTATTAATATCTGTTAAAAACTTGTTTGGAAAATGAGTGAAGTCCACACGCTGGGTATTGTACTAAATGACAAACATTGGTTCATATGTCTTTCTATCGAGAGTCCTAAATGGCAGCATCCTGCTCGATGACACAAAAGCTTCACATTGGCTGCGGCCATCCTAGAGATACGATCAACATTTCCTTTGAAGTTGTTGGGAATCTTCCTGAAAGGCAAGGAACCAACAGACTGCACACAGATAAGCGAGATCTATAAAATGGATATACACGCAAATATCATGTCCTGGAACAAAGAAAATGTCCAAAAATGAACAAACACCCAGAACTTTCCAGTGGTAAACTCAAATAAACCATATATTCTTTATTAATTAACAAATACCTATGTAATTTTTTTTTGAAGTTATGAGGTTATTCAGGATATTTAATAAAAAAATTAAACAACTTTGGCTCCTAACTCAGTCTAGCCTAAAATGGGTACCAGGAAGTGTTCCAGGAAGAAAAATCGGCCAGCACGATATCTACCTAAGACCCATCGAATACCATTGGTCTGTAAACAATGAAGGCTGGTGCCATGTACCAGAATATGCATGGTAAAGGATCTTTTACTTACAGTTAATTGACATTGTCTCTGCTTATAGCACATTATTTCATTGTTATCTTCTTGGTGTTATTTTTAACATTTTCTATCTTTATTTTCACAACATATGTTACTCACTTGCAAAAGTACCTATATTTCTTTGAGTATTTTATACTTAGTTACATAAATGCATTTGTGCATTACAAATTTATTCAAATATATTTCTAGATCCTGGACACATTTATGTATTTATAGTTTACAGTGCTGCAAAAGTATTTCTGTTTTTTCCTTCACTTTAGTAACCACCTGCAGGAAAGCAGTCACCATAGTGCTGTCATTTGTTTTCTTCAGCAAGCCATTCACTTTCCAGTAAGTACACATTTGTCTCCACAGGTATGTTATCAGGGCCCGTCAGAAAGTAACGGATAGTAACATGTTAGAACGGACTAAGGAGGATTGGCTTCACACTGGTCACCTCATCTCTTAGAAATCTTCAACCAGTTAGGCATAAATAACCAGGCAACAGAATTAATGGTGGTGGTTGGGGGGGGGGGGGGAGGGGGAGCAGTGTCTGTGTGTATTGTGTTCTTTATATGAAAATCTGGAGCAGTGCTGACTGGCCTAAAGTGTGGAAAAGAACGGTCTACATAAACAGCATCCTGTCTTGAGAGCTGAGACATTTTGGCCTTGTGGTGGCGTGGAGAGGGCAGTGATGCAGGGTAGTTCTAGAGGCAGACCTCCTCAAAGGTGGATACAAGATATTGAAGATGTATTGGCTTTGAAAGCACATAGGGCCAAAGAATTAGCTAGAAAAAGACAAGAGTTTCAAGTGCACTGTGATGAGAGCAAAGTTCTGTAAAGGATCTGCCTTTTGATAATGATGATGAACACATCTATGAAGGGTCATGGGATGGTTGAGGATTTATACTTCATTGGGAAATGAAAGGCAGAAGAAAGAATGAAGTCCACTTATTGAGGCACTTTAAGGAAAAAGGCTTGTTTGTTTACCTTTCTAGAGTTGGTGCTGTAGGAAGAATATGCTGCTTTTAGTAACCTGCAAGTCAACATAAGGTTTGCTGGAAAGACAGCATATGGTTGTTCTGACAGAGAATTGGAATGAAATAAAAGCAAAAAGAAAACTGCTATTAGAGAAGTCTGGCAATCCCTCTGGTAAACCTCTGCACTCCAGGGTAGAAGAGGATCGACTAAGTAAGCAAGTAAGCAAGCAACGCTCGAGTAGCAGGCAACCAAGACGATGGTCTTGGAAACAAACATAACATTCAGTTCTATTAGACACAAACTGCGAGGTTGGCCTGCTCTTGAAGGGAAGTTCTGGCAGTTTCCACAGACTCATCATCATGTAGCAGGTCCTTTGCAGAACATTTCTGTCATCACTGTCTGCCTGAAAGAAACTTGATCTCTCGCCAGCTCTCCCCCCTCATGTACTTTCATACTCAAGGAGTCACATATCCTGTGCCCATCTTCGTGTTGGTCGGCCCCTGCCCCTCCTTCCTGGTACCATGTCTTCTGCTATAATTTTTTTGAATCCGTTGTGGTGCTTGATATGGCCAAAATATTTCAGCTTCCACAGGCCACATCCAATTAATCCTCACTAAAGGCTAAACCCATGATGATTAAGAGGTTCAATATTAGGAATTAAAGCTAAGAATCCTTGTGCAGGATGTGATGATTCCTTTGAGGAACATGGAACCAAGGTACCTTGTATAGGGTTCTGGATTAGTTGAAGCCTCAATGGATGGCAGGGAGTGAATCATGTTTTATCTGGCTTCCTTTGAAGGCCTTTTAATAATGTTACCATACTGAGATAGCAGAATGTCTTATTATGGTGCTCACTACGACTAATCCTAAGAACAAATGCTGTGATAAAGTTGGATAAGTTGTTTGAAAATCTCAAATATCCTAGCTCTGCTGTAAACTGATATATCACAGCCACTCTTCTACCGATGAAGATGAACAAGAAAAATCCTGAGAACCCACTTGAACTGTGAAACTTCTTAGACTGAAACTCCTGTGGAAAGTTCTGGTTGTTCGTTAGTTTCTGGACTTTGGAACTAGAGTTTTGCTTCCACATCTGTTTTACAGATTTCACTTATTTGTATGCAGACTGTTGGTTACTTATCTCTCAGGCAGATGCACTCCAACTTAGAATGAAACTCCCTTGATTAGTTGCCTTTTATGACATGTTTGTTAGGGAGGCAGTAAGTGTATTTGTTTTTCCCAGAATGACACCCAAAACCCACACAGGGAAATACTGTGAAATGATAATTAAATCTTTTGGTCACAGATTGTCAATAGATGTCCAACAGGAATATGAGAATAATGAACAATCATAAGTACATTACTTTTAACCATCCTAAATACACCATGAAAGTGACAGCTGCAAAGGCCAGATTTATTTAGAATGGTGTAAGAGAAAGCTTCACCTTCCATTTTCATTGATTTTTCTGAATTTAACCTGATCATGGGAGCTGCAGTAGAGCAGTGGATAAACACTTACCCACCAGCTTGAAGGTTTTGGGTTCAAATCTGCACCAAGTGGATTAAAAAACATTTGGACCTTGGCTCACAGGTCAACTCAGTCTAAAATGGATACCATGAAATATCTAGGAAGTAAAGGCGACCAGCTTGATGTTTACCTCAGCAACCATCGAGGGCTGATTGGTAAGATTTAAATATGAGTCTAGTATCAGATACTAGATGCATCACCATCATAAACAGGTTCCCATAAAACATCGCAGAGAAGATTTACCTGTAGTTTCCTGTCTTGTGCTAGCTGTGTAGCTTGTGGTAATATCATATTAGGCTTCTGTAGCATCTCTTTTACTCCCTCTGCCCATCTCTTTCTTGGTTAGCCTCTTGCCCTGTAGCCTGCTGTTCTCACACTGTACACCTCAGGAAATTCACAATTCTTTTTACCCTGAATCTCAGATGTTTAGTGTGGCCTTTTTGAATATCAGGCTAGATCTTGTGCTCTTAGTGTTACCACTCCAATTTGATTTTGACTCTCTCCTCTTCTTATCTTGAGCATATTGTCATAATCACTGACAAACTAACTCCCCAGGTACTTGTGGTCAGGTCTGGTTGTGGTTTTGGGTATATACCTGAACCTATACAGCAAGAACAAGACAAGCTGGGACGCACACATTGCTGGATTGTTGCATAAATATGGTCTGCTGAAGCGCAAGAGAGCGCTGGAGCCGGAAAACATTGTTTGATTTATAGCTTATGCGTAGTCTTTCATACTTTTAGAATACTGATAAGCATTAGTAAAATCTTATGTTATTTTTGCTGCGGGGAAAAGTAATAAGTTATCTGTAAATGTTACATTATGGGAGATTGTGTTCTTCCGTTTTTATGAATGTTGCCTACAAATGGTCTGTTAAAGCGCAAGAGAGTACTGGAATGGAAATATTGTTTCATTTATAGCTGGTGAATAGTCTTTCATAATTTTAGTATATTTTTTAGTATAAACATTAATATCATCCTGTCTAATATTTGCTGTGGGAAAAGTAATGTTATCTGTAAATGTTACATTATTGTAGATTATTTTGTTCTCTATTTATGAATCTCTCTGTTATTTTCACCTTCCTAAGTGGTTTTAATTTGTGATTGCTGTACTCTGTTTGAAGCCAGTTTGACACCTTGCTTTAAGTCAGCAAGTTGTAAAATAATTACTGATATTGTTTTTAATCATGTTCAGAAACAGAATAAGGGAAGGTGAGGTAGCTGTTCACATATCGTTTGGGTCTGCAGTATGCCCTTAGTATGGACCTAGCATCATGAACTCAATGTTACCAAGCATTGTATCATAAATATCTGCTTGGCAACATATCTCTGCTACAGACCTCGCACTGTATCTACTAGATTATGGACCTAACATTGTATGTCTGATTTAGATAGCTCTGAATTCACAATATGGGTTTATCGTTATATCTCCGATACAGAACTTGAAATATATCCACTGTTGAATGTAATATTTGTACCAGTTTTATGCTGTCAGTGCCAGTAATGGACATTCCTAGAAAAACATAAATCCACAGAGAGCTAAGACTAATGGTAAGCACACTATTGGTAAATGATTTTATAGAACATCATATGAAATGGTTTGGTCATCTGGTCAGAATGAAACAAAATCAGCCAACAGCTAGAGCGTAATACATGAGAACAGCAGACTACAACAACTCAAGAGGTTAGCCAAGAAAAAGACGGGGGGGGGGGGGGGGGGGGGGGGGGGGGGGGGGGGGGGGGGGGGGTTTTGAAGAAAATGAGGCACTACAGAAACTCAATATGACACTAACACAGGTTACACAACTAGCAAAAAACAGGAAGTTACATCTAACTCCCCTCTGTGATGTTTTACGGAAAAGCAGTAGGACAAAAGACAGGCTACTACATCTAACTCCCCTCTGTGATGTTTTATGGAAAAGCAGTAGGACAAAAGACAGGCTACTACATCTAACTCCCCTCTGTGATGTTTTACGGATAAGCAGTGGGACAAAAGACAGGAAGCTACATCTAACTCCCCTCTGTGATGTTTTACGGAAAAGCAGTAGGACAAAAGACAGGCTACTACATCTAACTCCCCTCTGTGATGTTTTACGGAAAAGCAGTAGGACCAAAGACAGGCTACTACATCTAACTCCCCTCTGTGATGTTTTACGGATAAGCAGTGGGACAAAAGACGGGAAACTACATGAAACCTCTCTGTGATACTTCCCCAGTATCTCATGATGGCAGTAATACAGCTATTTAACTTACATCCTGTTCTTGCCTTTTCTCAAACAAGTAGTTTGTCTGAAACACATAAATGTTGTTTACCATTATGTTAGCAGGTGTGAACCAGCCATTAAAGTAAGGGGAAGTAACGATTGGGTGCACTGCCGCAACTTAAATCCATACATGTTTTATAACCTCACTTTGAACAGCTGCAAAAAGTCATATTAACCTTACAACAAAGAGCTGTGTGTTGTTAACAGTTACTTGTTTTGTAGTCGATAACTTTCTTTTGAGCCTTCTCTATTTCCTATCTGGACTCTTCTCGTTTATCCTGAAGCATGGAAGAAAGTAAGACTTTGTAATCATATATCTTTAGTGTCCCTATGTACCTCAGCAGGCTCCCATTTTGGGGGAACAAGAAGAATGAATCCACTGCTGCCTACCTAATGAGCATGTCAAGAAAGTTGACTAATTATAAGTTGGCTGAAATTGGTTTTGTTAAGCAGAAAGGCACAGATCACAGCCTAGCTGTAAACCACAGCATTGTATGCCAACAACCCTTTTAAGAATGGATATAGAAGAAGAATGAGAAGTGTTATGCTCTGATACATTTTCTGTAACATATTCTATGCACTGTGTAATAAGTCATTAAAAGCAGGGATGACTGCAGTCAACCCGGCTGATGCTGAAGTGTCTGATTGTTCCTGTGTATGTATCCCCCCCCCCCCCCCCCCCCATTTCACACCGTGGTTAACTGAGTCCCAGAAGATTCTAGCTGATGCCTGACTGAAGCGAAAATGATGACAACAAAAACAAGGGTATACTTCATCCTCAGGGTTCAAATATACAGCACATTGTGGGTGGTGGCTGGTGTTGTTTGTGTGATTTAGTTTTGCCTGACAGAACATAAAATGTACAAATATGCAAAACATGTTGACTGGACACATCGGTAATATCCAGCACACATGGTGCGTTGTTTGTGACAGAGAGAGTTAAGCTTTTTAGTCACAGTTCAGTGAATTCATTTACTGTGTAATATAATATAGTGAATAGCTCCATCCCTTCCCCACCACTCCTTTCCCACCTTTCCTTCCCCGTGTTTCCTTCTCCATCTTTCCTTCCATGCCTTTCTTTCCCCACATTTCCTTCCCTGCCTTTCCTTTCCCACCTTTTCTTACAAACGTTTCCTTCACCACATTTCCTTCCTCGCTTTTCCTTCCCTGCCTTTCCTTCCTTCGCTTTTCCTTCGTTGCTTTTCCTTCCCAGCCTTTCCTTTCAAACTTTTCCTTCCCCGCCTTTCCTTTACCACCTTTCCTTCCCCGCCTTTCTTTCCCAGACAAATCCCCAACAAATTCTTTTAGGCTTCGGTCCAGACTGGTGCGAGAAAATGATCTTGCTTCTGCCAGGCATTGTCTTAGCAGACAAGTGCACTAACTGCTATTTCATCACAACTCTTTGTGATAAGTACTGGTCAGAAAACTGCAGCCCAGCCACAATTGGTGTTGCTTAACCACTCTATCACCATAGCCTTTATAACTGGACACTGTCTATAACAGACTTTATTAAGAAAGCTCTTTAAAAAAATGTATCAGGTGACTCATGTTCTGACCCCATGACCTCTATCACTGAAGCTTACAAGAAGATTTGACATCAGCTTGCCTTTCAAAAAACTATTAAGGTCATAAGGAAACCACACTGAATGTTATTTTTAGTTAGTGTATTTATATCCTGACTTATCAAATACTATGCAAGCGCACATAGGACCTTATAGAAGTTAACTGCTTTTTTTAGAGACAGGTCATTGCCGACATGGCCAAAAATGGATGTTTACAGGGATGTGGCACAACCACAGGTGACTAGATTTAAGCTTCTCGGGGCAAAAGAATGCTTCAAACAATTTCAATAGGAAGTCTTCACTCTGAATGTCTACACAATGTTCAGAAGTCACACTTCACCTCCCTCACCTGGATCTACATGGCTAGGCATGTTGGAGTAAAATGCAATAAGCAAACAAGCGGACCAACTGGCAAGTGATACACTAGTACAAGCGAGAAGAAGCATGAACAGGGCTGATATATTTCAAGCTGTCCGGATTAGGCTAGTGAATAATACTGATTTTACTGACCTGGGAACAAAACTGGCAAAGCATGTCTTCAAGATCATTATGATGACATTATAACCAATTTGATTCAGTATATACACCTTGACACATCTGCTAAATCGGAGGATTGATCACGCATGAGAATGCCCATTGTGCATTGATGTCACTAGTGGTAAGATACAATACTGCATAACATTACTGTCGGCGTCTGTGACTTACGCATTGCGAACACGCTTTGTAATGCCAGGGTGCCGGGTTCGATCCCAGCTGCAGGCCCTGCGCCTTGCATTGGTTTCCACAGTGGTATCAAGAAGCCGACCGTCCATAAAGCAATGGCAAACTACTGTCAACCTGATTCTCTGGTCACTCCTTGCAGCACCATTGCTTCTGCGGGTCAGATTTGCCCGCAAGGCGTCAGTGGGATGTGCCGGTTTAAGCCCAGTGGGCACTCGGCTGGTGATGTGGTCAACCTCCCATTGGCCAGCTGTGGACAGACCAGATGAAATAGGCAGTAATGCATCTAATGAGATATAGCTACAATGCCAGGCCATTCAGAAGTGTTGGCCCAAAGAGTCCACCGAGAGGTGGGGGAAGGGGAGCTCACACAACACCCCTTGCGATTTTGGGATGAGGGAGGGGGGGGGGGGAGGGCATTCATTCCCCTTACACATTTTCTGGATTGGGAAGCATTAAGGGTTTTAAAGTGCGTAGCAATAATAACGATGTGCCGCAAGGCAAAAAGCCTAATAATAACTGAAATTATACGAAAAATAGAGTCCCTCTACAATTTGTGTGTGGGGAGGGAGAGGGGTCTCAATGGGCATAAGCTGCCAGATTCTCGTACTCTTGGAACAGTGTATAGCTTTAGTCCCCATTATTTAGAAAAACGAATACGATAAAATAAATCTAAGGGATATAAGCCCACGTTACTTACAACACCTTACAGCAAAATAAATCCTAGGAAGGGACATAACTGTTCAGACCGTTCAGTTTCAAGGGATGTTATTCAGTTTATATGCAAACCTATTTCTAACTTAATTATACAATTTAGCGAATCATTAATTTAAAAAAAATTAACCTTAGCTGAAAAAAAAAAATCGAAAATCATAAATTTTGTTTGCGTTAAGTGAGGTGTAAATTCTTTGTAAATAATCTTCTGGATTCATTAAAAGATAAACTATTAAAAGAACAGTATACATAGACCAGATCCGATCAGACAATCTTGTTGCATCTACATTATTACTACTTACGTCTATCATTTTAGCTTCAAATCCTTACGTCCTTTTTAGGACGTAATTTTTTGTTATTTGAAGCCCCATCCTGGCTTATGCCAGGGGCCGCAATATAGGCAGGCCATCAATATGGCCAATTGTCTGAACGCGGTTTCTGGGACCTCTC